GATTGGGAATGCTGAACGTGCGGACTGGGGTGACCACAAGAGAAGTCAGCGGTCGCCTCAGCAGAGGGGGAGGGGGCTGCACTCATATTTGAACAGGGTTATGGGAAACAACTGACTTTTTGGAGATGTGAGTGAGGAGACTGGTTTAATATCACAACCATATGGATGAAATGTGTAGGCCTACATCCTAATACAACTCCCCAAGGTGAACAGCTCTGGTAAACATACTACAAACTGATTCTACACAGTAGCGTTACAGTGTTTTAGTTTGCATTTAGTTTTTATTTAGCTGACACTTTTATAAAGCGACTTACAATACGTGCAATAAACCATGAAGATATAAACTCAGGTATATTTCTAATAAATAAGCCAATCATTTTAAGATTGGTGCATTTCTTTCAAATAAGCTCAACATTTTACAACTTTTTTTTACACTTGAAGAGATAACTGTGCTAAGTGCGATATACATATTTGAAATGTTTACAATACTAATGTTTTCATTAGCTGCTGCCTCTTTCATTGATATGTAGTAGTTATGGACTTTAATACATGGTAAAGCAGCGTTCAGTTATTATGCTCCAAATATCTGGAACAAACTCCCAGAAACCTGCAGGTCCGCTGCAACTCTGACTACTTTTAAATCCAGGCTGAAGACTTTTCTTTTTGTCGCTGCTTTTAATTGAACTATTAATATCTTAGACTGCACTGTAACTTTTATCCATGTACTTTTTTTCTTTTAATGTTTAATTGACTGCCATGTATTTTTTTCTTTTAATGTTTATTTTATTAGCTTTTCTTTTTAATGACTGATTTTAAATGCCATTTTCTTAATCTCTTTCATTTTTTGTAAAGCACTTTGAATTGCCTTGTGTTGAAAAGTGCTATATAAATAAACTTGCCTTGCCTTGCCTTGCCTTGCCTTGCCTTGCCTTGCCTTGCCTTGCCTTGCCTTGCCTTGCCTTGCCTTGCCTTGCCTTGCCTTGCCTTGCCTTGCCTTGCCTTGCCTTGCCTTGCCTTGCCTTGCCTTGCCTTGCCTTGCCTTGCCTTGCCTTGCCTTGCCTTGCCTTGCCTTGCCTTGCCTTGCCTTGCCTTGCCTTGCCTTGCCTTGCCTTGCCTTGCCTTGCCTTGCCTTGCCTTGCCTTGCCTTGCCTTGCCTTGCCTTGCCTTGCCTTGCCTTTAATGTTTGCAATTTCTCCTCCTATTTTAAAATCTTTATTTCCATCATATAGTAAAACTCACCAATTAAACATGCGAGTTTGGTTGTAATTCATATGGTAAAAAAAGACAGATTGTTGTTCATGTGCACCAGCACAACCACACACTTCTCCATCTGTTTCTCCACCTGCTTGCTGTGCATTAATCACACCTACAACTACACATGCACATGGACGGTGCCTCGAACAACCTTTGGACATACGTCAACAGGACACACACTGACACACACTGACACACACTGACACACACTGACACACACTGACCTCTCACAATCGCAGGCCAAAACAGTCCCAGAGAATCCATCTAATTTATGCATAAACACTGCATAAATGAACATAAACCTTCCTATACAATGGCTGTGTTGCTGTTGTTTTATTCTGTGAGTGTGAAGGACATGAGGGAGTACTTATTCATGAACTGTGCCAACTGTAATATGCGGCAAATTATGTGTAAATGTAATATTCCAGTGAGTCCCACACTACTCTACAAGTGCATGAAAACAAAAACTTTACAATGCTATAAAACATATGGCCTGGGGAACACCTTCATGCTGTGTTTACTGCTAACAACACCAGGGGTTTACTAGTGTGCCATAGACCACTCAGTGATTAAAACGGCCATTATGGCCAGACCCCCACCCTCCACTGGTGTCTGGCTGACATATGGCGGTGGAGGTAATGCAGATCAACTCCCTCAAACAAGCCTCCCTGAATACAGATAGTCATTTGCGTTAGAGGGCCGGGAATAAATCCATTAAAAAGCCAGCGGATGAGAACCATTAAGGTGCTCTCTTTCAGGCCGGAAATTAACGGCTAAATCCAATGTGCTCAGGCTTTGGGAAATATGGGGATTGCGAAATTAATTACCAACAAAGAATATATTTTTCTGTATTTGTGTACTGTAAATATGTGATTGTATAAAGTAGTGGTGTGTACAGAAATGTAGGTACTTTTTCAATACCTTTGTTGAAATGGCTCTGTATTATTTCCTTACGTTAAGAATGTGTTAAATGTGTGGTTGGTCCACCTGTTTGGAGGTCACCTTTCTAAAAACGGGTAATAAGATAAATATAATATATCTACCAGCTTCATTTCACTCTGGGTCTATATTATCTGACCAAGAGGCCAGACAAGTTTTTGTCACCAAACTAATCATTTCAATATTATATAGTATTTTAAAATGCCTTGTCCTTTCATACAGAACGACCTAAAGAGTAAATCTCAGCGTTGGGGAGCCAATAAGCAAGCAGCATGTTTGCACGAAGATCTTTTTATGCTGGTGACTTGCTTCCCTATCGTCGAGGCATGCAGGAAAACTGAAGGAACTGAAAATTAGATTTGTACTTAAAAATTAATGTTTTAATGTGTTTTATCAAAATGGACTTTGAAAAATCTGATATTGAAAATAGTATTATTCAGGGAGCAGTTTTAAAGTCAAGGTATCGATAGTACCCATATCCAAAACTTTTGAACGATACCCATCCCTTATGACATTCAACTTAGTATTGGTTACGACGAAGTGTGAGAACACGTTTTTAGAGAGTACTTGTCCATGGACAAGTGAGTTTGGAAATGTACTTGTCCGAATACATTTTTCACTTGTCCAGAATGGACAAAAATTGGGGCCACTGAAATCTTCTTCTTCGTCATCGTATTTTACATTTTCCCACGGTTTTTACGACACCGCTAACGTAAGTGAGCGGTAAGATTTTACTGCATCACACATAGGGTTGGATATCGTTTGGATTTTAACGAGTTATTTTCGGTTCTCGATTCCGGTTCTTTGAGAGGGTAAAAATAAGTCAAACTGGGAGAAAAATATATTTATGAAAACATTAAGTCAAATCTGTATTCCTATTTACAAATCACTTCATACTGTTTAATTTCTTACAGTTATTGAATACAATTATATAAAAATAATATATGCATTGTTTAGTTAGTTCTAGTTTGAGAATGTACAATTGGCCCAGTCTCCTCTGATGTTACACTGCAACCTGCCTGTGAGACAGAGTCCAACCACACATGTCCAACACATAGGACATAACCTAATAATAATAATACATTATATTTATAGCCTATAGGCCTAGCGCTTTTCTACAACTCAAAGACGCTTGCACGCTTACACATGCTGCAGCTGCCCAGCTGCTCACTGTTTGTAAAAGTAAATAAATAGTATTTTCATTTCAATAATGTAGCTACTTTCTATACCCTGCTTCATAAACAATACTGACATCCCTGTGCTCCTCCGAGTCTGGGGGTGTGAGGACAGCGCGAGGACACAGACAGGGAGGCTGCTTCACTTCATAAAGGAGATGGCGTCAATATTAACAACATAGGAGCTAAAACGCTTAATAACCTTCATTACGTGTTAGAGAAAGAACATAAGAAAGTTTGACAAAGATGAGGCTGTTAAACGGGCAGCGGATCCACTGTGTGTAGAAAGAGAGAGAGAGAGAGAGAGAGAGAGAGAGACGCTGAGCTGCACCGTGCAGCGATCAGCTGATACGGAGCATATGAGAGAGCTGCAGTCCGCGGGGCTCGGCCTCGCCTCCTGTCCTCACAACTCTTATTAATCCCGGTACCGGACAATTGTTATTTGTTCCTACTCAGAACCGAGTTTTGCTTCCCAACCCTGCCACTGTGCTACACTTCCCGCCCCGCCCCCGTCTAACTGTACAGAAAGCGGTGAGATGCATTTCCTTAGGAATCGACAAGCAGAACCTAAACTAACATTTCTAAACGAACAATGGCGGACACGTATAATTTGCGAATGAGTTCTGCCTTTTGTAAACTGAATGTATCAATAATTTGTCAATAAACGTCACTTGTCCACCGGACAAGTCAATTGACAGATCTACTTGTCCGATATTGTAAATATTGTCCCGGACGGTGGGACGTGTACTTTTTCGCACACTGCGACGAGATGTTGGTATTTAGACAACACAAGTACAAAGTATGATGTGATATCTAATGTGCATATAAGTACTTGTAAAAACTGCATATACATGTATGCAGTAAATATTTAAATGCTGCAAAATAAGTTGTTATATGTTGACTATATGCAAATCATGGATAACAGGATTGGCACCATGCAGCACGCCCTTAGAAGAGTTGCACAGTTATCCCATTTAACTGTGCATGCCACATCCTTAGCACCATCTTCAAGGGTTGTTTTTCCCAGCAGGGAAGAATAAAGAACTTCACATATCTACTCTGGCTTTTGAGCAGCAAGCAGCTACAAGAGAAATATGCAGCATCAAAAAACTAAAATTCCTTTTAGATCTTTGCTTTATCGACAGTCAGGAGGAAAAAAGCCAAAGACACAAGCCTCTATTCCTGGATTACACAGAAAGCTCTGGCAGAGGGGATACTGGTTAGTGATGGAGGGTGGGGGGCTCGGATGAAGCCACAGCGCCTTTAATTACTGGTGCTATTGATCCTGTGGACATGAGATACTACCAGCCTATTCACTGTGGAGTCCCAAGACTTTTTCCTCTAACTGATCAGACAATATTAGCAAACACAGTGTGGACAGAATGGATGGTAGCTGGCTTTGTATCAACTCACTGCTTGTTATCAGCCTGGGATGTAGAGGGTTGACGTACAATAAAACCGATTAATATGAGGTTTGTTCCGTGGAGGATATGAAGTTATCAGCCTGGCTAACTTGGTCAAAAGCCACGTTGATCAGATTCAATTGAATGAACCAGGTGTAGGAAATGGAGAAGACAGTATAGCAGATGCAAAACATGACAAAGAAATGAATGATGGGTGTCATGGACTCACAAGGCACAGCGTGGCGGTAGAGGTTGTCTCGAATGGTCTGCTGCAGTTCGTGGTCAGCCGAGGATTTCTGGAAGCGCTGGCTCAGGTAATGCTTCAGGTCCTTGTTCAGCTTACTTCCTGTCATTGCAGACACAAACAGGTAAGCATGGGGCATCAAAACAACTTTGGATAGCAGAGATAATGAGGCTGTTATAATTCATGGTGGAGCGTCAAACGGCCACACAGTTTGGCTCCCCGAATAAGAAATATGCAAGTTGATCCTGCAACCACAGCAAAGCTAGATGCTGAGTGCATACAGTGTAGCTGTGAATTGTAAATGTGCCATTGTCACTCAGAGGGGCGGCTGGCTGCAGACTCTCTTTCTTCTCCAGGGCTAGCCAGAACCTTAGTCTGCTAACACTACGGCTAACACTGTGAACCAGCCCTCCTGCCGCTACGCCATCTGGACCTCAGACACACATTAGGCTACTGACGGGCAGCGCGGCTGGAAAGTGTCCGCGTGCATGTGTGTGTGTGTGTGTGTGTCCAATACAGTATCATGCGTGTGCAGCACAAACAGTATGACAACATTACAGAAAAAAGAGAGGAGATGTATGATGTCACAAATCAAGGAGGATTTACCTGTATGACAATGCCGTGATCTAAATTCTATAACAGCGCTGCCTGAGGCAACAACAAGCATCTTATCACTTTATCTTTTAGTGCATGTCCCATTATTTATTATCCAAATGATTTATCTCCCATCTTTGCACGGCTGCTCAGACCATTTTTAGTTGTCTTGGGCAAACAACCAGTCATAAAAGGCCCTGGATCCTGTTTCCATGGAAACTGTGTGTATGTGTGTGTGTCTGAATGTGCATGTGTATGTGTTTAATAAGATGATTTTTAGCATAGTACAGATGAGCATCCTGCAATGGTTGGCAGCATGATTACAGGTTCATGTGATACAAATACAATTCAATCACAACATGCTCCTCCCACAGATATGATATGACTGCTTTTTATTTCGTGTGACCCAAGAAGTTGTCTGTCATTCATATCAACATAAGTCACAAGAGAGGTTAGGAGGCAACAATGTACTTATGGTCACATTATACTTATAAGATTGTCAAAGTCTGGTTTACAAGCTTTCAGACTCAAAATGTAATTAAAACGTCAATACTTACAGTAACCTGAAACCCCGTCTTTACCATAGAGGTCTTTACACGTGTTATTGTAAAGAAACATGTACTGTTTGCGTTAAACAAATAGTATTTATCTTTTATTGATTGTATTTTATTGTTGTAAAGTAATTGTTTTTTTTATTTCTTGCGATGTTCTTTCTTATGACTAATACGATCTTTAGTGAATCCAGGCCGAAGCATAGAAACTTATTTCATTAATAAGAGACATTACATAACACCATAATTATTCTCATAATATGGCAGTTGGATTAAACGTCTGATAGGAAAAAAACGAGATAGTGGATAATGTGAGGCGTGTTTATGAAGCTAAATCAGGCCTCATGTGTGGTTGGATGATCACTGGTGGTCAAGCAACATCACCTCAAGGAGCAATTACATAAACTTTAATCCAGTTCTGTAAATTCTCTTCTCCTCTCACTCTGTATTTGCTTACTGTATCTTGACGAGCTCAATGTTGTTTGATGAAAATGAACGATAATCATTTTAAGGCCAAACACTGCGAGAGACCGGACCCTAGAGGAACTGCTGCGTGGAGGAATGAGAGGATGGTAATCACTTAGAGACGTGTCGATTCAGTAGATTGTGCTATCCGTCCAAATATCTTTGGCTCCTTTGCAGACACGAACAGCTGACATGGCATAACATGTTCATCACAGGTTTGAATGTGTTGTATTGAATAGCAGGATTATCTGACCAATCACAACCAATGTCCTATTCTGACATGGATCGTGATGGATCAATGCCTCACAATAAAACGGTGATTCATTTAGAAATAGTAGAATCTGTTTGGCCTGTGTGGCAGGTTGTCGATTATTTATACAATTCAGTTCAGGCGATTGCGTTTTTGCACACAAGTGGTGTTAATATGTTGAGATTATCCTGCAGAAAAAAACAGGCAAGTATCGTAAATGTTTGTTGGAAAAATGGATTGCTTTCAATCGAGGGACCCCCTGCAATGCTTCTGGGTCAGCCTACAAACATACGTCATGATAAACCACTCTTTATATTATAAAACTATCATATTCTGATTTCTTGACCCTTTGTTTTAAATGCATAATGATTAAAACAGTGTCCTCAATGCATTCAAAGGAGTTGAAGATACCCGACTGCTAGCTCTTCATTGGTCTGTGCTGAAGTGCTGACTGGGACCAAAGAATGCATGAGAGCTGAGGTTCAATCAAACTCATTTTGCTTCTACCTAACATGATATATTGTTTCTTCTGGTCTGAGGTCAAATACATTTCTCACCACATGTATTATTCTCCTTCCTGTCCACTTCTTAAAACAACAGCAGAGTACTTTAAAACCACTCTTATTAAGTGCATCTGCAGTGTGTGGATTTCAGTATTTTGGTTGGCTCTGAATGTGGTCTAGGTTGGGCCAACTGTAGTTCAAGAACAGTCGGCGGTGTTATCTTAGAGATCAATATCCTGTGGGTGCATTACCAGCAATCTGTCACCCATCTCATGTGAGAGAAGATCGAGAAGGTCATGACTCAACTGCATTCAAGCCTTTAAGGCAGAAGTCAGCTCCTTCAAACCAGTGTCACATATGTTAACAACATAAGCTCATTAACTGCTACTTTGGGGTCTTTTTAGGTATATATGACAAAGCATGCTGGCTCTGATGGCAAACAAACAACACTGTACTGGTTATGAAGACTTAGTTATGTACTTACTTGATCAGACCAATTTAAAGACCAATATAGACCTGAGATGTTAAGACACGCAGTACATTGATCTTATTATAGCTGGTATTGATTGGGTCATAACGATTGTGTGGGCTCATCAAGTTACAATGTATTCCCTTTATTTGATATCAACAATATTCAAATAGTACATTTTTAGATGCCAAACCCACAACCACTATTGTCCTTGAATATATTAATTAATATTGACCAGTCGGCCACATATAGCAGTGATATACTGTTACCAGAACATTTGGCCCAGTGGCCACCCACCAAACCCCTCCGCAAACACATAATTAGAAAAGACGTATCCTTCAAACAAAGTCCACCTGGTATAGATTTTCCATAAGCCCCCTAAAACAGAGCAAGATTTTGAGAAGGAGACACGCAACCCATGGCAGAAGGGAAGTGGGGGAGGAAGGGTTTGTGCGATGAAGCTAAGGGAGAGGGAGGCAGAGTGTGTCCAACATAAAGGCAACATCAGAATAAGCCACACAATGCATCAAAAGAGTTTTAGACACAGCTGAAATAAGAAAAACTTTCCAGGCATCCTAAGTGCCCCTAATGCGTCCCTCAGTTCTGATCAGCCAGCCAATGCCCTGCTCAGATATGCACAGCCAGACATGGCACCAGCCAAAACCTCAGCTAGCGGTTGACATCTGTATTCACAGCATGGGAAAAACCAAACTACAATGAAACTCGATCCTCCTGCTCGTAGTGGGAAAGTAAATGTTTGACCGATTTCTGCTGATTCGGAAATGGCAGGAGTCACGGAATAGTACGGGCCCTTCACGCTCCAGACCAGCGGTGTCATTACAGAGTGGAGAGCCCCAGTAACGTGCTTGATATTCAAAACCTACAGCTACTTTAATACTACATAGATACAACTGCTGTTCCTGAAATTAATCTTACTTGTGTGTAGCGTAGAAAAATAGCTGAGGTTGTCAATTCAAGACTTGGGGTTCAGGCCAAAATCCAAACTTACTTACACTTCATTAGTTTCACTGGAAGAACCCAGGAAATGGACGTTTTGCATGCTAGATGTGTGTGTGTAATTCCAGAAAAACGTTCACAAGTTAAAGAGGATATGCATTTCCCTCAAATTGTTGTTTATAGAAGCTGTCCTTTATATTGTGCTTAGATGTATGTCAGAGATTTCAATCAAATATAGGGAGTTCTTAGCCAGGCTAATGCCATGGCTCGAGGGATGACATTGCCTGTCAGTCCAATCCATCTGTTTATCCCTTTGGGTCCAGACGGAAATGTTTAAACAATTATTGGATGGATTGCCATGTGATTTGGTAGAAATGTCATTATGAGGTTGACATTTTTATTTTAGTCAGGTGACTCAACAACTACTTCTTCTGGAAATCTGGTAGAAGCTTTGTCTTGTTTAGCTTGATTTAAGAACTGGAATCTTATTACAGGTAGCATTGGTTAGTATTAGAATCAGGGCATGCCCTGTAGTAAATAGCCTCCCTTGAAAAGGAATTTATTCAGAGGCATGTAAGAAATGGTCTAACTTCAGTCAGCTCTCTGGGCAATGGTATACACACTGCCCCTCTGAACACAAAGCACCAGTCTAAGTGACAAAGCAGAAAGCACAGTCATATGTCAGGGTGCCAGCCTGCTTTATACTTAGCCAAGTCAGATTTGGCAGCGCCACCATGTTTGGCTGGGCACTGAGTGTTGTATCGATGTAGAATACACAAACAGTCTGGCATACAAGGTAACAAAGGACTTTGTGTTATTTCCTCTTTTCAATTGTCTTTTTAACATCAAGGGACATATTGCCAGGCAGAGGCTATGATTAGAATAAAGTCTTATATCAGTGGGCTCTTTATTGCTAAATTTAGCATCTCCAAAATGGGACGTAGTAAAGAAGTGGACAACTGGAGCTGTGCCATTCAAACATGACCTACTATGAGTTAAATGTAACTGTGAGACATACACAGGCTGTCCAAGGCATGTCTTAAGTAATCAACTATTAAGCGAGCAGTCCCTCCATGGCTCTAGTTAATCAGATAATCAGGGCTAATCACCATTTAATTGATTTGACCATCAGCTATCTACAGTTAACATGTTCATAAGCACTGATCAGAGCTTAACCATATGTCATAATGATTAGGGATATAGAGAAGACAGAGAGCTTAATCTGACTCTTGATCAGTAATTGGGGATCTTCATTTCTATCCAGCTTGTTAAGAGCGGGTCCAGGTGATGGTAGGGGACTAAACCACCATAAC